TGCGTTCGTTCACTCATAGGAACGTGGCACGACATTCATGACAAACCAATCACTTTCAACGCAAGACGGTTTCATCAGCTCGAACCGCATGAAGGTCATATGTGGGCCTTGGCAGCTTACACCCCGCAAGCTTTCAAGCACGCTTCGGATGATCTTGCCTCTCGATTGGAGCGTCTTGGATTTCCCTTGCCTCTCATTCGCCGGACACCTGTAGAAAAGGACAGCCAATGAGCGAGTCGAATGACAGGAGAATCTCCTCCAGAGATTTTCATTCGCGATGTGGCAAATCTTTTGCAACGACGCCAAGCAGCGACGTCCCTTGCCCATCCCATTCGGAGTCGAAGAACTCTCGCTTCATCGCTTGCTGAAGCTTCGAAAGCAGATGTAAGAAGAGAGGCAGATGTGGACCTGCTTGACCATTGTAAAGCAAATTTCGACATGCTTCGGATCGGTCATTACAGCCTTACATGGGAACGGAATTTCCGTCGGTGGATCCAAAGCGTGGATGTTACCTGGAACATCCTGAACGACAACGTCTTCCACAAACTGGTCGATGAAGTCGGGGACTTCGTTATTTGAGGGGCTTGGAGAGATCTTCGACAAATGACTCCCATCATGACAGAAACGGACGTGAATCATCCGATGAAACGATGACTGATGAACAATCCTCTGATGAAATGACCTCGTGAGAGAAAGAAGCGGTGAAGTATGGATGAAAAAATCAGAAAGACCGCGTAGTGACCGCATAATAACCGCATAGTGACTGCGTAGTGACCGCATAATAACCGCGTAGTGACTGCATAATGACTGCGTAGTGACCGCGTCAAAAACCAGCCCAAGAACGGCTGCGATTTTTTTTGGTTTTTTTTGATGTATGATGAAAGTGTGCTGCTATGTAACCGTTCGAATCTGGAGTGAGGACACTGGAAGAACAGCTCATTTTGAGAAAAACCGATCCTTCCTTCAGACCGCTTTCGGATCAATATGCTGTTTACTCACAGCAAACTTGGACTTCATCAGCTCTCTAAACACTAGGACTGGCTCCTGACTAAGCTTGGAGAGCTGGTGGTTGAGGTTCATCTTCTGCGAAAGATGATGTGACTATCATGTGCTTGATATTGGCTTGACTTACAAAGGAATGTTGCGTGAACTGCGTGCTCTTGAGTCGCTTGCCGTTGGTAATGAGATTATCTCCACGCGGTGGGCTCAAGAGCAGCTCCAAACCGGCAGCACACTTTTAGATGTTATTAATGATAACATCTGTCATTGTTGAGGTGGTAGATCAAAGGCAATGGAAATCCAAGATGCTCCAATCGAGAGGCGATGTCATTCCGAAGCGTGCTGGAAGGCTTGCGGAGTGTAAGCTGCCAAGGCCTACATATGACCTTTATGCGGCTCGAGCTGATGAAAGCCTCCTGCGTTGAGTGATTGGTTTGTCACGAATGTCGTGCCACGTTCCTACGAACGCCAACGCGCCAGAATGAACCCAAAGTGATAAGGTGGTTAGGTTGTTCTTCCATGTTCAGGAGATGCGAAGACTTAATGGCAATGGAAGCCATGAAGCGTTGGGAATCTGTTTTTTACATTTTCAGAAATGATTGACGGCTAAGCACATCGATTCTTCATCTGTGAAAAATCCTCACCGATTGGAGTTGTCCTGATTGCGGCAGT